TTATTGAAAACCCCTTCAGGAGTGAGAACATGAGGGGCAAGGCAGCTCATATCTTACGGGGATGCGAGCTGATCAGAATAAGGTTCAGGAAGGAGCCAAGTATTTAGTACGTCGATAGGTTGTAGGCAATGAGTTGCTTTAAATGACGACCATCATATAGAGGAAAGGATGCAAGGAAGGTCCGTTGAGTTCGCGAGGATCGAACGTAGGGATGCAACCCAATGAGTAGTGGAAAGTTAGATTTTAAGCAATGTTAAGAGCACATAAGCAAGCAAATGAGGAATGGCAAGGAGCTACTGAACTATCTTCGGGTACCAAAGCAAGAAACAAACATCGATAAAGGGATTGTGAAAGTAAATGAAACATATATCCCTGTAGTAGAAGTATTACCTCAGGAGAAACATTAGGATATCATGGTGAACAAATTTCGAGGTCGAAATTTTTCTTAATGGGGTAGGAAATGTGATACCTCGACTTTGATTTAAGGTTCAACAACAAGTACTGAATGAGATAGACCAATAAATTGAATCGGGATTTCGTTCTATCACCTGAGCGAAGGAATTAAAGAGGAGAAGTAGCCACGCCAAGCTACTCGATGCTAATGAGCTTGGCGAGAATACCTTTTAAGATCATGAGGAAATATAAGAGTGAGCTAATATATGCGGGACAATCAACAAACATCATCAAAGTTCATATAGCCAGAATAAATTCTTGAGACAAGAGAGAACAAGAATGAGGAAATGAGTCTGAGCAAATTTCAGGGACGAAATTTTTATAAGGGTGGAGGAAATGTTACACCCTGCTCTTTCCAAAAGTCAAAATGACTATTGTGCCCATGGTTTAATTTGTCAAGTTCCACCGTAATGTTGTTGAGGATTAAAAATGTGAACTCTCAGTTCAAACGACATCAAGTTCCGTTATAAAATGTGAAAGTTACGGACGTCAATTAAGTTTTGTATCAAAATCCAACTCGGAAAGGCCGGACCGCGTGGGCCTTGAGGCTTGGGCCGAGCAGTTCTGTCTGAATTTCACCATGGGGTTATTATTAGGTCGGACATGATAATCTTTGCCATTGGGCTCCATTGGGCCAATCTTGGGACCGGAAGGAAGGAGCGAAGAGGAAGAAAAGGAAGTGTTCCCAATAGAGTGACCGACCGGAAACAGAGTAGCAAAGCGGCGCCCAGATTAAGAGGGTAATTTGCCGGGAAGTCGGATGCTAGTCCCAGTTCATAACCAAAATGAGTTATCTGGGGTTTTGAATTGGATTAATTGTTAAGGTTTGATGGGGGTCCTTTGCTTTAGTTCTTTTCCTTTACAAGTGGATGCAACCCAGAAACAAAAGGAAGGGAAGTGGTTGCCTGCCCCCATTCTTTCCTCCACAAGACACTTTCCGCCGTGGCACCCCTCACGTCCACCAATGACCGTGCGAGAGAAGTCGACCCACGGAGGGAGACCGATGAATTTATAGTGGGCGACGATTTGGGGAATTACGGAGGACCGGTGCATAGCTGATGTAGCTGCCGCCGCAAGCAAAAGAGCAATAGAGGAACCCACAAATTGATTGTGTATATGGATGGGATTGAAGGTGTTGGGGGAGCTTATATCTCTAATCCAATTGGTATAAAGGTAAGACGTGGCTTCTATCTATCTAATTGTGGATGATCATCGTCATAATGTTCGTTTGGCATGTAGTGATTCACCCATACATGAATTCACGTGGGTAAGATTCACAATGAAGGGAAGAACGAATTGGAAAGCAATGATAGATTATTGTAAGGCGATTCTGCACTTCTATAATCGAGTGAACTGAACGTGTCTATTTATAGGGCAAAGGTTAAAGCATAAGAAGGAAATCGAGGTTTCAGAGTGCACAAGGTTCACGATGACGATGCCTGGCGTTGCAAGAGCAGTTGGTTACGAAAATCGATATTGATTCAACTCAATCCACTTGAACTAGAAGTGAGTGTTAAAGGGGGTAAATTCTACGCCTTACGTATTTTTCAAGTATTTGCTTTACGTGTTAGAAGTTGTTTTATGTGAAATTGTGTGCTTATTATGTTTATGGGTGATGATGTGTGTTCTTTTGATTCATAGTTTGAAGGATATGTTTATGATCTTTGAGTACTTAATTAAATCTTTTACGTTTCTTTTGACGATTAAGTTAAAGTGTAAGAGGAAGAGAAAATCATAAGTAAGAATAAGTTAACCTCGCTTAGCTAGCCACTATCTAGACAGATCCCCTACCGGACAGTGATAAGTTCCGCGGTAGTTGATCACTACCAGATGGTGATATGTTCTGCGGTAGTTGGTCAGGTGTGGAACCGGACGGTAATGAGTTCTGCGGTCTCCATTGCCTAGGTTTAGGTGTGCTACCAGATGGTGATACGTTCCGCGGTAGTCACGCCGTAGTTTGACACCGGATGGTGATTCGTTCCACGGTGGTCAAACCCATTTGAGGGGCACCCCATTGTGAGGGTAGTCATGTTTAAGAAGTAAGAATGTAAATAAAGCTAGTAGTGGCGCCAGCTAAGTTGAGGTAGGGGCCCCCAATAAGATAAAGGATGAGATAACACAGTTTTAAGAGTTAAAGTTTAAAGGCGGAAGTACAAACAACCTCCATAAGTTTAAGTCAATGTTTTAAGCAAAGTGCTGAAGTATTAAAAGTAACAAACGTAAGGGCGTAGACTGACCCCAACTCACTCACCAGTTTATAGAGGAAGAAGAGGAGAAGTTAGAGAGCAGCGGTTCGAGGGGAGCTAGTTGGAGGAGGATGGTACGATCATCACGAAGGATGTCTAGTCAAGGTAATCTTTCAGCAGCAGCGTTTAAGATTAATTAGTTAATATACTTTATGATTATGAGTATAGACTGGAGATCATATTGAGATTTTACGGTTTGAGTTAATTCGCCCACGTGTGAGGGTGTTGTTTTGAATTATAAAAAAACAATTTCAGTATTTTGTTTATGAAAAATTTTCCACTATAATTTAAGGTTCGAGTATTTTTTTTTCAAGGGCATTTAAGTAAAAGTAGTACCCGATTGGGTTAGGGTGTTAGAGCTCGCCACTCGCTCAAACATATTCATTACTTGGTTTTCCGAAGTGAAGAGATGCTGATAGAAGTGACTGGCAATGTCCGCCTTCCCCTTCTCTTCAGTAACCCAGTCACCCTCATCATTACGCAGACCGACAACGTAGTTTTTTCCGCCGAGTTCTGGTGACTATATGGAAATACGAGTTATTCTTATCAACATTTTTGAGCCAATGAACATGATACTTTTGCTGCCAGTACAACTTCTCCGCCTCCCATTGGCGGTTAAGTTCCATTTCTAGGACTCTCACTTCCTCCCAATTTATAGGGTGGCGAGATTTGAGATGTTCAATTTCTGCTTGGAGGGTTTTGATATTACGAAGCGAGTTGGTAGTGTCAGCCCTACTCCAATCATAGAGGAGGTGCCTCAAATTCTTAACCTTCTCCCAGAGCTGGTACATCGGGGTCCCTGAAATTGACTCCTGCCAAAAATACCTGACCATTGCCCTAACTTCAGGGTTATTAGCCCATCGAGGATCGAACCTGAATAATGGGAGACTATTTCGAGCATAGGGCATGTCCGCGAGGATCAGCACCCTATGACCCGAACCGAGGTCTGTACAATCTTTTACAAGAGTATCAGGGAAGCAATCCACACATAAGCTTGTTCGTCCATGTGAAAGTATCACCATGGTAGCCAGGGTCATGGAGTCCAAGATCATTGATAAAATCACGGAGGCTAATCGACTGTGCAATATTCCAAGAACTACCTCCATATTTTTCATGTTCATGCAGGGTGGTATTGAAGTCACCAATAACCACAAAGAGGATATGGATAGTATCACAGACCTCACGAAGATGAGCGAACTGCATGGCTCTTAGAGGGATTACAACTAATGTAAACACAAAAAACAACGTAGGAAAATTCAATTTCATTAATTTAGACGCCAATACAAAAATCAGAATGAAAAAACACCGAAGCGTCAACTTCGGGTGACAAAGCAACAACCAGACCACCAGATGCATCAATAGAATCCACAAAAAATGTGTGAGACGACTCAAACCCTAAGCCCCGCATATGGCGGGAAACTTATCTCCGGCGAGCTCTTGTTTCTGAAAAGAAGACAAGGTCCGGTTTATTCGAATGCACTAAACCCATAGCAGTTTGAAATGTGAGGGATGGTCCAATTCCTCTCACATTCTAGGCTGGAAGCCTCATTTATCCCGCTGGGACCAATTTAGGCTAGTTTCCTCCACCGTAGCAGAACCATCTTTTTCCTCCACAAATTATTTCTTTGGTGTAGAGGGTTCGCATGCGTCCCCCTCCACCTCATGGAATTGCTGTTTTATTTCTCCACTTTGCAAGGCATCATAATCGGAGCCATATTCATTCAGCTCTCCAAGATCCCCAGTCAGTTTGGAGGATTATTCCGCCATGAGCCCGCAAACAACCGTGCTAGGCACTGCATTCTGCGGAGGGGAGGGTTGGATGTTTTTAAAACTCATCCCAGCCTCGAATGCACACACCACTTGCTGCACATGGCCATTGTTAGACCGTTCGGCAGCCGACCTTCTACTTTTTATCTCGAAAAATGCATATCATCCTCTGGACTAGTCTCAGTAGACTCAGTCAGCGGAACTCCACCTGGTAGCGGATTGAGGAAAGCTCTCACTGGGGAAGGAGCAACATCCGTCACTTCCCCCACTAGAACATCCACCCAAGCCCCAATATCCTCCATCAGAGCAGTGGAAGCCTTCCGGGCAGCACCCATCATGTTGTTCTTCTTAAGCTTTCCCTTCCTTTTTTAGTTGAGGCCTCCTCGCGCGGAAGTTGGTGAGTTTTTGCTTTCGAGAGGCGCCTTGGAGCCGTCTGAATTGGTTGTCCGCCCTCCGTACTAGAAGCACAGGGTGCATTCATCCCCCGACCCATTTCCACTTGTTTTCCCGCCACTGGGTGTCCCACCCCACTGAATGAGACAAACAACGGCATCATCTAATCTTTCGATTCTTCCTCCAGCAGCAGCCGCCTCCTTCGAGAAACAGAAGGATGATGGCATGCTTCCTATTCGCGACCAAGGGTGGTCTCTGCGTGGGAGGGTTTTCAGGTCCACTCCACCGAGCATTCCCTTTACCCTTGATTGTCCACTGTATCGCCTCGCCCCGCCTTTGTAGACATCTTCATCGACTTGCGAGCTTCTTTTGGGTCAAATGAAGCACGAATTGACCCGAGTTTCTCCTGACCCTTAGCTCGACGTTGCATGCTCGGACCCGATTTTCACCTTGTTAAGGTCTGGTTCTCTCTCGACATAGGAGCAGAATCAACCTGCTCACCCGCTATTGGACCATGGGACTATCCATGGTGGCCCGAGCCGTCACCTACAACGTCAGCCCTCCTTATTTCTCTCTCTCTCTCTCTCTCTCTTCGAGTCAGCTTGGGATGGTTACAAGGGCCTTGAATATTGTTGTCGACTCACACGGTTTTTGGCATCCCATGGAAAGGAATGGTGATATCATCCGCATCATAGACCCTTGTTCACAGCTTCTTGGTCATCATATGCGGACCAAATCGTTCCTTGCGAGTTGGGGGGGGGGGGGGGTCAAAAGAATATTCTCGTAGAAAATGTCCCACCCATCCGCAATGGAAACAAAAGTTTGGGAGATGCTCATATTTCAACCGCACCCAAAAAACATCTTGTTTCCTCACTAGCAGCCATCAATTGTGATCGCAGGGGTCGGGAGAAATCAATCATGGCTTTCACCTTGATGAAATATTTCCCTGTGTCCTGGCAAGAATAAACACCTGCCTCGATGACTTGGCTGATGGTGGGACCCGCAACCTTCATGCCAAATTTTTCCGTGCAGCAGTCATCATTCACATCCCATAGTTGCACTCGGAAGGGGGCCATCGCTAGCTCCTCATACGTCTATCTTGTGACGGACGGCGTCCATATCCTTAGATGGATGATTTTATCATTCACCACCCAGGGAGTTCTTTTCAAAACCCAATTTTTGGATTCTTCATTGGGGAGGATGTAACACCCCGAATTTTGGGTTCTTGTTCGACCGTGATACCTGAACGGTTGGGTTAACGGTTACGTACGAAGGGCCGCAACCGTGGAAAAAACATTATTATTATTAACCGTTTCCTTTGCAGATTGGATTAGGTTTAGACCCACATGGAGAAGTACTATAAATACTTCTCATACTCCTCTGTAATCTGTAATCTCCTCGATATAGTGAAATTGGCTCTCTCTCGCCCGTGGACGTAGCTAACACACATCGTGTTAGTGAACCACGTAAATCGTGTGTCGTGTTTTCGATTCTCGCTTTCGTATTCTTGCTTTGTCGATTCCTGCGATTTCCCGATCCGTAGCAACGCGTTTATAACAATTATTATTATAAAAAAAAAAGAAAGGGAAAAGAGAATAAAAATCCCTAAGCAGCTACCATTCCCGTAACCCCAATAATTAACCCACCCGTTACCTCTCTCTCAACCTCAAGCGTCTCTCTCTCCCTCTCCTTAATAACACTACAAACCTACAGAGACCAAGACCCAAACAATCACCCCATCTCTTCTCTCTCGGATTCTCTCCACCTGCCGAGGGAGATTGCTACCCCTTCAGGAAGTGCACCGACTGTGTCCTTTACCCGGAGCGAGAAGGGAATACAAAAAGGATTGTTGGGACAGGACGCTAGTGATGAAGGCACCCCAATTCGCAAACGAAAATCAGGCATCACCTAGGTAAGCGGTCCCAACTTCTAAATGATTCTATTGCGGTGATGGTGATTTGATTATGGTTCACCTATTACTTAAGTTAGCGGAGGTGTTGTGTTGACGCCTACAAGACGATGGTTCACCAAAACACATGTTGGCGGGGAGGAATTTCACTTTTTGAGAGGTTAACATGGATGTTTTTGCAAAGGGACGATCAGATTTGGTTGAACAAGGTAAACCGCTTACCTTTTTGTTCTCCCGTAAGAGCATGGTGGCGATTATGATTCTTTGTAGTTGTCTGAGCTGCGTAGTAGGGAAATGGAATAAGGGATACCCTAGGAGTTTGGTTTGGAAGGTGGGAATTGCTGGGATAATTTTTCAATGCTTGAGATGTAGTGCCACATTGGTTGGTTGCTAAATTATACAATTGGCTATTGGTTAGCAAGTACACTAAGTCATACTTGGTGGTAATCCCACTTAACTTTTGGGAATCACAGGGAGGGATAAAGCTAGTGCGGATGATTTAAGCAAGGAGAGACGAACCTACGGATTCGGTTCTGGTCAGCCGTTAGTTTAAGTCAGGCGGCTTGAATGTTAAGGTGAGTGTAAAGGGGTAAATTCTAATCGTTACATATTCTTGTAAGTATTACGATTTTAAGTATTTTGGCGATGTGGTTACCGTTGCTTGTGAATGCTTCTGGCTGTTTATATGTATTTTGTTTGTGCTATGACTTGAAGTGAATGTGTATTATTTACCTTAAAGCTTTATGTTTTGGTTAATTATTAGAGTTTAAGAACCAAGTTCCTTTTAAGAAAGTACTTCACCTTCAAGATGGTGAAATGGTTTTAAGTGTTTTTAGTCACTAGCGCCAGTCCGTTGTCATTTGAGATTTTCAGATAGAGCAGCAGTTATGCTCTTGAGATCTTTGAGACAGAGAAGCAGTTATGCTCTTGAGATATTTTAAGATGAGCAGCAGTTATGCTCTTGAGAATCGTGGAAGAAGAGCCTTCCACGATAAGTTTAAGTTTAAGGAAAGCCTGCATGGGCTCTCATACGTATGAGTTGGCGAACGGACTAGCTAGTGAGGGATCCCCGTGTCAGTCAAGAATTTAAGTTGAGATTTGAGCTTTAAGAATACAGTTTTAAGAGTTAAGATTTTTAATAGTGGAAGTACAAAACAACTTCTGCTGAGTTAAGTAAAGTGATCAAGTATTAATAAGATGTTAAACGTAAGGGCGTAGACTGACCTCATCTCACTCACCAGTTTAAAGAGCTAGAGGAGGAGCTAGAGGAGAAGTTAGTGAGCAGCGAGTTCGAGGGCATCCAGCTAGAGGAGGGCAGTATAAGCGTCACGGAGGATGCTTAGTCAAGGTTTTCAGTAGCAACAACGTTAGAGATTATTAGTTATTTACATTTATGATTATGAGTATAGACTGGAGATCATTTTGAGATTTTAAGTATTGGGTTTTGCCTATGTGTTAGGGCGTTGTTTTGAACTACAAGTGTGTGTTTTTAGTATTTTATTTATGAAAATTTTTCCTGCTACAATTTAAGATTTTAGTATTTTATTTATCAATGGCATTTTAGTAAAAGTAGCACCCGGCCGGGTTAGGGTGTTTCAGAGGACGAACTCAAATAAGCAATGTTTGGCTTGGAGCACTTTGATCCTCCCCTTGCATTGCCATGGAGAGTTCACCGACTCTTTTAACTCAGCAGTTGTGATGTGAGCCATAGCGAAGACGCGACCAAGCAGCGTATGAGAGTTACGAACTTTGACTGATTGGACTTCATCAAGGGAAAATTGCACCACTTGATCCTCACTCACGTGCGAAGACATAGTGTCCTGCAAAGAGAAGGTGGGAGCAACTTCCATAAGCATAGATATCCGTGGCCTTTGCTCTAAACCCAGCGGGTCGCATGGGTTAGGGTTATAGTTTTTATGCTTCTGGGTCGCTATAGCAGAGAAGAAAACATCCGCAGTGGGAGGGGAAATATCTAGGAGAGGGGAAATACCTGAGTTTGGAAGATGTCCAGCGATGCTCGCACTGCTCTCTGTAATCTTACTCCGCTCGCTATACGTCAAGGGTATAGAGACGAGACGGGCAGTGGTGAATACACATCAAGTTTTTTATTGCACCGACGGATATTACGGGGAGATTTCCCCCCAGTCCAAGCCGTAAAATCCGGCGCCCGAATCCCCAAAAAATCCAAAATACTGATGCTCCACCGTGTATGGTCTCGCCGATCACTGATGCTCCACCGTGATTGTTCCCACCGGTCAGGGACGACACAATAACCCTGTCGGCTGTAATGATGGGAACCCAGAGCCAACGAGATCGACACCCATCCTGACGTTGGCCTAGGGTTTTGGATTTTTCCCTTGCTCCCACGTAGGAGTGGCAATCCGTCGAAAAAGGTGGGTGTCGTAATAGAAGCCTCCTTGAGAGGAGCAAATTCATGACGACACGGTGGGATATGGTCGCTAACCATAAACTCCAGCTCGTCCAACGAAGGGAGCTTAAATCGCCACCCTTTATTGAGAAAAACACATCGACTTTTCTTAGTTAAGGAGTAGTTTATATCACACTCCACCACATTATTCACAAACTTTCGTTTTGTCCCCCTACGCAGGGGTCGGAGCTCTTCCCGTCAAACAGAATACCAAAAACCAATCCCAGGTTTGGATCGACTGGGAGAAGAGGAGGGGATCCTTTTTGATCCTTTGACGAACAATCTGCACTCCACCCCTGTTGACATGGGGAGAGGGATCCATGTCCACGTCTCTTTGGAACTTGATTACGCAGACTAGCATCGAGAATCTCCTTCACCGCCATGAGAAGAAGACGGCCGAGCAGACGGCAGTAGCAGAGGAGAGAGGCGAGAGCGTCTCTCCACTTTTTTTTTTTTTTTTGGAGAGCGATGTTTGTTTGTTAATAGGGGGAAGTGTAGGCAAAGATAATCACGAAAGGTCTTACTTGATAACAAAAAACCCAATTTTGGCCAAAAATTAAGTTTTTTAATGCTTCATAATCACAAAACTATTCCATCTGTGTCAAATTTTTTGAAATCAAAGTTAGAACGAAAAAGATACAAGTCGAGGTAATCCAATTTTTATGAGAAAATTTTAAATCGAATTAAAATGAACGAGATTATAAATTGATACATTGTGTTAATAGTAAACCAAATTAGCAAGAAAGAACAAATTTAATTCACTATTCATAACCAATAAAAATAATATCAACATATAATCAAATAAATTTACAACTATATACCCAATAAAATAATATATTCATCACAATTCTCGTAAAAATTTTCCTTCCAACTCTCTTCCATGAAACATCATTTTTCTTCCAATTTCTTTAACCTCCAAATTGTCCTTCCCCTCCCCTCCATTTTCCCCCTTCCTTCAGGAACATAGTGTAACGACGACAACCCTCAAACAAAACTCTCTCTTCT